CTGTGCGCCTGACTCCACATCTGTCTCTGTTCAGACGCACATGCACCAGCACACGAGCAGAACACTCATGTGAATCTGTGGGAGGGGAGAGCACAGAGCCAGGAACTACTGCAGCCACATGGGCCAAAAACCCCACAAATCATCAGAAAACATATATCGTGCTTTATTTACATGCATATTTTTTATATTATTATTATTGTTATTTAAGCATACTCTTTGAGTTCCTTTGCTTTGATATTTTATGATACATAACTTAACATAACGCCTAATATAATAAACAGACATTATTTCACAGCATCATTGTTCCCCATACTCTAAACCTGATTTCGCCCACCATCTACTGGCAGAGGAGGGAAATACCATGTGGAAAACAATTCAACTAAGTAATGATGAGCATGTCCAGACATGCTGATGTAACCACACAGCAATTATGAATGACACTTGATGGCAGAAATGCTTAGAATAAGTGTGACAATGAGTTATGAACCTGTACAGACTCTGTGTTTGTGACATCACAATTTCAGGAATCTCAAACTGAGTGTTTAGTGAGGCACAGAGACAAAGGACCTCTCACAGTGGATTACTGAAACCAGCGTCAATGACACGGAATACAGCTCCAGGTATGTTTTTAATGAAGGAATAATATTCTCACATGCTTAAAGCTCTTCTTAACCCCATAACAAACTTTTTTTTCCCCCACAAACCCCCTGACTAATAATGCCCAATTTAAAATGAATTTGTTTCTGAACCCTTTGGCTGAACTCTCTGTGAAGCTGAGACTCTGTAGTTTTGGTTTCCACTGTCTGATTTACTCTCATTATAAGTGGGAACAAAGGCACAGAAGAAAATTCAGACGGGATTAGTTTTTGGTAAATCCAAGAATAGGTGTATCTGGTGATTGGAGGTATAGTCTGGGACAATGGATCAGTTAATTCCTATCAATTGTTATTAAAGCCCTATATGTTTATTTATTTATTTATTTTATTTTAGGGCCCAGTGGATTTATGAGATTAAATTACATAAACCTCCACATAAGCTCTCAAATGAACATGTGTTCATATGTATCTGTATGTATGGTTGTGTTTGGACATCCCTGGTCATTTTAGTAGTAGCAAAGTAAAAATCAGAGATGTGAAAACAAACTAGTTTCATAATGCAAAACTGTACACACACTAAGTACAGCAGTAGTCTCATTGTTTTGATGGGAATGGCCATTGACTCACAGTGCGTGTCACTGAAGTCACTCAAATCAAATTAATTCAATTACTCTTCAGCTAGAGCCTACACAGTATTGATGAACCATGCCTTTGATTGACAGCATATATGTGTCACCAAGGGCTGTGGATCTAATAGAGCTACTATGAACATGAGAGTAGACATTTCACTGAGGACTGTGGGCTGTACTTGCAATATGGAAATATAATTATCATCTAATTGAGGCCTGACAGAATCACTTATATCCTGCTTCTTTGTACAGATGGAAATGGACATCAGAGTAATGTAGGAGAGCTCAGTCACACACATCAAAGCTGAGAGATGTAGGTAAGTACCATCTCCTGAAATAAACTGTATTCAATATTTTTATCTAAATGAAAAATAACCAAATCAGGGGCAGAGAATGTCAATGGAAGTCAACAGCTCACGCAGCGTTTGTGAACGGACCACTAATTATAATTAAAAACAGTTTAGGTACAGATTAATCACTCCTTCACTCCTGCATTCAGTGTAATGAAACAAGCTTTAATTTAAAAAAAGGGGTTTGTTTGTTCATGGTGTTGGTGGTTTTGAGATTCGAGAATGTGATGACGTCATACTCCCAGATGGAGAGCAAGGGCCAGATTTCCCTATTCATTACATTGGACTTTGCCATGCCCAAAAGGTACATTCATAGATGTTGAACCTGGTATTTTCCATTACTGACTAAACCCAGGAACTTACCATATTACAACATAATGTAGCATTTTAACAATTTTATTTGAACTGCCCCCATCATCTGTATTAATTATAAAATACTGTGATGTCATCTGAAACCTAGCAATTGTACCATTTGAACATAAATTTAACAAAATAACATGTATGAATAATTCACCACCACCATCTGTCCTGGCAACTGTAATCTCTAGGTGTTCTTTTCCATTTTGTATATCTGTATTTGCTCATCGATCTATTATTATGAAAACCAAACAAATGACTGTAACATTATTACACAAGACAGATATTCCTATACAGAGCATTAGTCACTTACTGTAAAATATATTATTGTTATTATAGTTTATAGTATAGTACAGTCCCTGACAAAAGTCTTGTCGAAACAAAAGCTTATAACCTGATTTTAGATTAATCGATTGGTTTTAGAAATGTCTCATATGAAAGCTAAAACCCTCCCAAATTATGCTCAATATACTAAAATAAATTTGCTTCACTGAAGAAAGATTGATCATTTAATGAACACAGAAAGGTCAGATTTTGGCAAGACAAAAGTTTTGTCACCTACAGAAAACTGAACAAATAATTTACTTCAAATACAAAAATATGTTGCATAACGTCAGTGAATTAAGTAGTGGTGCTCTGAGATCCACATTTAATATCTTGTATGACTTCCATGAGCTTGAAGGACTGCATCCATGCGGTTCAACAATGATTCATACAATTTGTTGATGAAGTCATCAGGAATAGCAAAGAAAGCATTTTACATGCCTCCCAGAGTTCATCAAGATTCTTTGGTTTTGCCTTCCATGCTTCCTCTTTCATTCTACCCCAGACATGCTCAATGATGTTCATGTCTGGTGACTGGGCTGGCCAGTCCTGGACCACCTTGATCTTCTTTGCCTTGACAAACTTTGATGTAGAGATAGAAGTATGTGATGGAGCACCATCCTGCTGCAAAATTTGACCCCTTTTATGGTTGGGAATGTAAGAGGAGCTAATACTTCTTGATATTTTAGGCTATTGATTTTGCCTTCCACCCTGCAAATGTCTCTCACACCCCCATACTGGATGGAACCCCAGACCATGATTTTTCCGCCACCAAACTTAACTGTTTTCTTGGTGATTTTTTGATCCATGCAGGCTCCAGTAGGTCTCCTGCAATATTTGTGGTGGCTGTGATGTAATTCAACTGAGGATTCATCTGAGAAATCCACCTTCTGCCACTTTTCCAGTGTCCATCCTTTTAGCAGGCTGTCGGCCTTGGCAAATGCCACACGTTTTTTTAATTGCCTTTTGTTTAGTGCTGGTTTCTGTGCACTGATTCGACCATGGAGGCCATTTCGAGACAGAATTCTACAAACTGTTCTGGTTGACACAGGGACTTGAGGTGACCAGGCCTGGTGGAGTCTGCTGCAGTGGAAAAGGGGCTGGCCTTGGATTTTCGAATCAACAAACGGTCCTCCTGAACAGTTGTCTTGCGGGGTCTGCCGGACCTGGGCTTGTCAAAAACATCTCCAGTCATTTCAGATCTTTTTCTTATTCTTTGTACTTGATGCTGAGACACATTGAAGGTGTCATTCACCTCAGCAGTGGATCTGGTCTTCAGCCTCTTGATAATTAATGCTTTGGTCTCAGGGTGGATCTTAGGCATGTTGTCAGAGGTCAAGTTGCAGTTGATGTGAAGGTCTGGTGTGCTGGGATTCTTTTTATACACACCCACTAACTGATTGATCAGTAACTGATCACAGGTGAGACTGTAATCTAGGATTGGGTGCATCATATGACAAGGTGACAAAACTTTTGTCTTGCCAAAATCTGACCTTTCTGTGTTCATTAAATGATCAATCTTTCTTCAGTGAAGCAGTATATTGAGCATAATTTGGGAGGGTTTTAGCTTTCATATGAGACATTTCTAAAACCAATCGATTAATTTAAAGTCAGGTTATAAACTTATAAACATACTCAGGGAAGGTGAGTAAAGTGTCTTCTGGTTTAACATGACCAATCTGTCAATAATGCAGAACATAAATAATGATTATTTACCAGATACTTAGGGTTAGGCTTGGATCTGGGATTGAGCAAATATAAAATATGGTCTGTAGACCGGCTTTAATGTAGAACAAAAAAATGCCATGAGTGGATCTGATACAAGAAGCCAGACATTTATATTAATATATTTTACTGGAGAAACAAATGGAAATCTATATATTTCTATAAAGTACTACCAAATATAATGCATGTTCAGATAGCTGATCCAGTAAAAGTATCATTTGTATGTAGTACCAACATAACTATTATTGATCTATCCAGATAGTTGTTTGTCATGGTACTAATTAAAAGCTGATGTTTAATTCATCTCCGTTATAAAACCACAACAATATATTGAATCAAGGTTGGGCAGTTAATTACTGTCAAAACACTTATTAACTTTGGTATTGTGACGGGGTTAAACATGACCAGGCTTACAAAAATAAATGAAATATAAAGTCTGATAGATAATGAGAGGGAAAGTTTCATAGCTGAGTGTTCTGTTACTGCTGTTCTAACTCCCACTCATGAATAACTGGCTCCATGTTAACTGAGCCCTCACACAGAGGCCCTGCAGCAGATTGGCACCACGCTTCCAGTGTATGTACATTACTGCTATTAAGTGCATACACTGATTCTCTTTACTTTATAATGATATGTGCTGCTTGTTAAAGGCACATTATGTACCATTCTGGAACTGGCATCCCATGGAAATAAGCAGGTTAAAGTTAACACCATACTGTAGAACATTCCATGGAAATGGAAATTGATAGCTGAAGGAACAACATTTTCATGGAAGCAAGCAAGAGAGGATCTTCTCCAGGTCAAATAAGACTCAGGTTTATGGAAATGCAAGCCCATGTAATGCATGTTTTTTTGGAGTTTTGTGTGTGTGTGTGCTAAAAGTTAAACACTGGGCTTTAAGTTTGTAAAACACTATTTGAATAAAATAAAAATCCATTAAAAGTCAAAAGCAACAAGGAGCAGCTTCAACTGGTATTTGGTAATCAATGCATCTTCTACAAAAATCTTTAGGGACAGAGTTAAGCTTTGTAGTTGTGTGATCATTAATCAAGCGTTACTACAATACCAATTAATCAATTAAGTGTTTAATTCATTCAAGAAACTATTGCCACATATAAAACATTTAAAAATAAAGATCTCTTTTAATATACCATCTTTATGTTATTACATGTGCATCATGCATAACTGATAAGTGTTACAATAAACCACTTCACATACAACTCTTGGCACAAAAAACATATAAATACTTATTTCTCATCTTAACATCTACTTACACTGGTCTGATTAAAATTCAAGCTATAACAAGGATATAGCTTATCAGTAAGCAAGGGGAAGAGTGTTCTCACAAATCCTTGAGTCATCCCTGAGTGGATCACGTCAGGCACATGTAATGCATCTGAAAATGTGTGCACATCTTAAGGCAAAATACCCAGAGGTCGGCTGATAGCCAAGTTAAAAAATATAGTTGTAGACTGTTTATAATATATGAAAACTGTTTATCCTACTGCAGGCCGAGAAAGTGCACATACATGCCAAAGGTGCAAAACAGTAACTATCACTTACCAAGGCTTTAAAAAATGATGATAAATGCAGTTCTGTTTTAAGGGCTGGTTCAGGTAGCTCTACCCATAAGTTTTCTATAAAAATTTGCTCATATTACACTTCAACATATTTACAAGCAGCATAACTTTAAGAAGCACCAATAAAACATAAACAAACTTAACACATACAGTCCTCCACATCCCTATGAAAGACTTATACACCATATAAAAGACAATATTTACATCAGTGCAAAAATACCACAGTCGAGGCAACTCCACATGTAAACAGGGACAAACATCATATAAAAAGAGTCTTGAAAAATAAAAGAGAAATACCTTTTACCACTTTACAATGACATTCATTTGTGCTTGTTTATAAGGTTCCCCATTCGTTGCAAAAATTTGCCGATCTTATTTTCCTGGTTTCCATGTGCAGTATGGTGATGTTCTGTGGACGTGTCAACTTTTGATAGGTTTTTCTCCTGAACTGGTCGACTCCCATATCCAGAAGTAGAACGCACCGGCTCGATTTTCACATAGGAGGGTTCATATCTACTGTACATTTTCTGCTCAACACTGTAATCCCTCCTCAAGCCGCCTGTCTCGTAGCTAAGCTTTGAGCTCCTGTCAGGAGAATGCATCTGTCTCTGAGAGTCATATTTGACATTAGAGTGAGGAACGTAGCGGTGCTCCTCTGTGGTAAATCGTGGCTTTGAAGTTGCAAGCGGATCCTCGATTCGTTGATTTCTGTGGCGCTCGGAGCTTGTCCTGCCTGTGCTCTTTGTGCTGTGGCAACGTTGGTTTCTTCCTTGAGCGATTCTCATTTCATCCTCCAGTGTTACGGTGTTTGTGCTTTCTTCTGATTTGACACTATCTCTCCCCAGAGTCCCACATTCATCATCTTTCTTGTCTTGTATGTTCAGAAAGGATTTTATCTTTTTGGAGCTCTTCTTAAAGAACCGCTGTTTGCTCGAAGTGCTGCCTTTGTCGTTCAGATCCTCTGTGTTAACATCAAGAACTGCAGCAGACAACGCTCGCGATGGTGTCTCCTGCCACATGGGACTGCTTGGACTATTGGGGCCAGTTATTCTTTTGACATCATAATGAGAGACTGATCTCTGATCCTCATTCAGAGCTGACAAGTACCCTCCGTTGGGTACATTAATCCCCATTGAGCTTCTATTCACCTGCATTCTGGCAAAAGGCCCATACAACTGCTCCTCGTGTATGTAATTACTGTTGGATCGGGGGTCAGCCACACTGTGCCTTTTGTTCCAGCTTTCTGTGAATAAGTCAGGATTGGTTAATATGTGACCTGCTTTCGGTCTACCGAGGGATGCATAATTTGGGTTGAAAGGGCTTCGGGTGGGAGTAAATTTCTCATTGTCATCTAACAACTGAAGGCTTTGTTGTTTAAAGGAAAATTCCTCCTTACCGATCCTGTCAGTTGCTGTTGGACTGAACTGCATAGAAGAATAGTGCATTGCTGTGTTCGGTGATAACCGTCCAAGACCAAATGAAGAATTGTCCAGCTCCCCTTGTTCTGGGATAGTTGACCTCAAGACAAGTGAAGTCCTCATTCTTCCCTGCATAAACATGTTGACTTTACCCGTTGAGTCAAGTTGGTCTAAGTAATCACAGGACTCTCGGAGGGGAGTGTCTGTGTTATTAAGATAAGATTCGATCCTCCATGTGCGCATGAAGGCCTTGGTCGTCTCCTGGTTTGGCATTATTGGCTGCATGGGGATCAATTTATCTTTACTGTTGTATGCCTGCCTTTTGGGTTGACCTCTTATCTGTGCAACTGGCAGGAAATTGTCTAATGCAGAATTTTTACCAGAATCCCCAGAAACATTCCAGTTGCTTCCTCTGGGGTGTACGTTTGGAGGGATGTACGTGTCTTGTTTTTCACCTGCGTAGCTGTGGCGTTTTTTATAGTTTTCAGCGGACCTATGCAAGTTAATTCCATTCTCTATTATAGGTCCAAGTGGTTCTTCCTCAAAGCAACCTTCTTGTGGATCCATCAAGCCAAGACTCTTCTTTCTGTACACTCCCTCCATTGTGTGGCGTAACTGTCCACCTCTCTCCAGTTTAGGAGCAGGATTAGAAACAGATTTAAATAGAATAGGTCTGCCTTGTAGTCCATTGTGAGAAGTTAAAGGGGCAAGCTGAGCTGGAACTGTTGACCTTGCGTAAAGTGTCCGAAATTCCTCATCATAAGATTTCACCAGATGTCCCGTAATGACTTGGACCATGCTCAGATTGATCTTCTCGAAGGACCAAGAGAAACTGCAAAACACAAAATTAAAGCAATGTTTTTGGTCAGTCAGTGTTAACTGTGGCTATGTTTACATTCACACCAAAAATTTGATCATTATCTGATCTTAGTAAATTGAGTAATCTGTTTACTGAATGCCATAAAAATAGTTATATCTGATGTAAGTAATCTGATTTCTTTATGCTTGTTCTCATCTGAGGAGGTTTTGACAAGAAAAATATGCAAAAAGAGGTAAACTAGCAGTCAAAAGTTTAGACACACACTGTCTCATTAAATGTGTCGTTTCTTTTTTCTTACTACTTTTTCCAGTCCAGATACATACAGAAGGCATCAAATATATGAAACAAGATATATGGCATTATTTAGTAAAGAAAAAAGTTAAATAACTGTACAAAATATTTTTCAACAAAGTAAAAGATGGCTAATTGGAGGATTTGGTTATAATTTTTATTTTATTTTTTTAATAACGTTGTTTAACTTGTTGTTCTTTACTACATAACTCCATATATCTTACTTCATATATTTGATGTCTTCTGTATAAATATCAAATGTAGAAAGTAGTGAAGTACTGAATGGGCCCAAACCTTTGACTGGTATGACGCAAATACAACAACAACAAAAATCTAAGATAAAATTGTACTTTGTTCTTTATATTCTAAATATCAGAGTTATTCTAATTGATTAACAAGGTGTTTTTGATGACCAGATTTTTTGTTGCATGTAAATACAAAAACACCTAAAATGAGATCTTATTATTGGGTTATCTGGTTTAGAGGTAAGATCTTAAGACCGAGCCCAAGCCCGACCCGACCCGACCTGAAATTCGGGTCGGGTCGGGTCTAAATTGTCAATCATTACTTCGGGTCGGGTCGGGCTCGGGCTTCAAATAAATATATGTTTATAAAATTTATGCTAAAACGATGTGAGGATACTAAACTAAGGAATACTTGTTATAAAATAAATAATATGGATAAAACAGAGAAGTAATGCAATGTAATTGCTATTTAACTACTAAACAGGATCCGCAGAGCCAGAGCTCTGCGCACGTGAACGCCCCCTCTTAATTTAATAATCTTCCCCTCCGCAAGTCTGCATCTATTTTGACCTGGTATCCCCAATACGGAGGAGCAAGAAGTTAAACTAAAGGCAGGAGAACTGAAAAGACAAACACGCACCGGTAAGAGTGAGGTGTGGAAAAGCTTCAAATTGATTGTTGAAAATGCTACAGAAACTTGCGTTGGCTTCGCTGAATGTCGTCAATGTGGCGCTTTGCTTTCATACGAGAGCAAAAAGACTGGCACCTCGACGCTGAGCACTGCTCCTCCTCCCGAGTCCTCACAAATAAAATATGACATTTCGGGTTTGCTTCGGGCTCGGGCCTGCAAATCAAGTTAATTGGTCGGGCTCGGGCCGGGTCGGGTTTTAATACCCGCGGGCCGGGTCGGGTCGGGCTGGATTTTTTAGGCCCGATCTCACCTCTAATCTGGTTATGTCTAGTTATCAGATTTTTACTGGTCTTGTAAATGTAAACGTAAATGTTTAAGTCTAGTTCATGTTTACCTGTAGGAGCCATACACAGCTGTACAGCAGTCGAATAAGAGAAACCTCTGCTCCATTGCACCATGAAATTTTGCTCCTGACTGACAGAGGTAATCCTGACCTTTAACTGTGCGCACCCTCATATTCTGCAGACAGAAAAGAACAACATAAAGCATCAGATTGTACATGAAAGGAGTAATCACAGACAAGGTTTCATTTTGATGTTATACAAAATACTTCAAGGTGACTGTGCAGGTGATTTCTTAAGAATAGGAAGAATACAACAGTCGTTAGACTGCAAACCACTTTCCCACATAAACGAAACAAGGCTCCACCCAGCCTGTATGACAAATCAGATGGAATGAGGCATAAGGTTGAGAATTTCTGGCATTACAAAGTAAACACAACATGTAGTTTAAACCCTTGACAGAATATATTTAAGAATAAGATTAGAGATTATTATTATTATTATTCAACCCACAATAGTGAAATTTCAGTGTTGTAATGAAGGTACAAAACAAAAAAAAATAGGAGAAAAATAATTGTATGTATAAGAGTTAGAAATAAAGTGAGCAGAAAGATGAAAGTGAAGGCATAATGACTCTTATAAATACATACCCTCAGCTGTTGGATCCTCACATCTTGATTTTCAACCATGAAGAGGAAACTCTTCAAATTGAAATGATCCAAGAGCACATAGACAGCCACTCCTCGTAATGAAGCCTCCACAATTTCTTTAAAAATATCCACATCTGTGAACTTATCCATGGCAATAGCAATGACCTGCAAGGACAAAAGAGATATAAATCACCACGCCTTAAGCACTATAAACATGCAAAAATGTTCAGTATGTGGGCAGTAGACATGTAAATTTTCAAAACATTTTTCATATTTGACTGTTTATTTGTATGAAAATAAATGAATGATGAGAAATACATTTTATAGGTTTTTGAGAACAATGGCATTGACTCGTTGTTTGCTTAATTGATTGTAGACAGCTTGAGCCAAACCCAGAAAGTGAGTGTGGTAAACTCCCAGGTCTATATTAGTCACTCACAGACACGGTGTATTTATTTATTACAATTCAGTTCCACAGTACTGCACATGCTGCTTTCTGGACAAAAAGAGAAGCTAAGAGCACAGTCAGCTAGGTTCAACAAGGGTCTCACTTAGTCTTATTAGACTTTGACAAACCAAATCACCAGTTTAACTACTTGTATTACTATACTTATACATATAGTTGCTTGAAAACTCTTGTCTTCTCAGGAAGGCTGAATGATTTTATTTCATTAGTGATTCTTTTTGCGAGTGCAGATATTTTCCCTTAATGGCAGTTTTGACAACCTGAAAGCTGACTCCCTCATATCTCTACATAATATTTGAATTACTTACCTTGACTTGTTCCTGCATAATTAAAACGAAAGTGGAAACATGATTTTCATCTTTGAACTGAAAATTGTCTTTACACCTAACAGCCTGCTAACTAGTACAGTTCTCTCTACAGAAGGCGTCAGCTAAGTAAAGAATATGGCAATATAATTTACCAGCTGGTGTATGTTTCTTCCTGCATTGTCTTTAAGTTGCAAAACCAGATTTTAAAGTTGTCTTGCTCATTGGATGACACACTGAGCAGTGCCTGGAGGGGTTAAAGACTGAGAAAAAACATAGTTGTGCAGTGAAAAGCACACTCCCCCTAATTTAGATACTGTGGGGCCACGCTGACAGCCGAGTCAGTCCCTGAACCAATTTACAGTACACATCGCACATACAGAAAGCTGAGAGCCGTTTCCATTACCTGCCTGGCATTTTGAATGTGTTTCCGGACCACCTCTTTGATAGTGGGATTGTTCTGCCGTGGTGGGTGATAAAGCAGGTCAACATTTGTTTGAAGTTTTTCGTGTCTGACGTCAGGCCATCCCAAATCCAGATCTGGCGTGTCCACATCCGAATGCATAGGCCAGTAAGTCCCTGACGATGATCCAGTGTCATCGTGGTTTTGAATATTAACTTCTTCAGGTTGGGCTGGGGTTTTGGGAAGTTCTGCATTCGTGGTTATAAAAGCAAGCTCCTCTTCTGAAAGGAAATTCCCCACGCGTTCACCCTTGAGAAACTCCTGGTAATTGTCCCGACCACCACTCAACAGCCGATCAATTGCCAACCTATATGCCTCCTTATAGTGGGGCTGGATGTATTCATCAGTTTTAAATTCTCCTCTCAGGGAAGACAGAAAGGAGAAGTCCGAGGAATCCATTAGCCCCTCTGTTCTTTCAGTCAGGCCTGTCAAAGATAATGGAAATCAATGATGATGTTGTCAAACAAGAAGAGGACAAAACAAACATCTTGTCTTCTAGTTTAACAAGGCAGGATAGTGGCAAAAGCTGAGGAAAGTTGCAGATATGCAATGCAATATGTATTTAATCTGAATCTGTCAATGCAACTGAAGATAGCAAGAATTATCTGTTACACTTTGCTGCTGGACGGCAACCTGTTTCTCTCCATGGAGATGTTATTGCGTTGCCCGGAATGCTCCACAGTATGGCATTAAATGAATCTATCATCATGGAAACTAGCAGGTTACACCACTAGACCAAGTTACAAATCCAATTTTAGGAGAGTTAACCTGCTTAAAGTAAGAAGGCAAGTTTTTTTAATGTAATTTTGAGCTATAACAACACTTGGTGGTTGAATAAATGCCAGATAAATTCATTTAATGCCATATTGTGGAACACAGCAATATCATGGAGACTCCCATCCAGAAAAGTTACATACTTTACATTAAGGAGCTCACATGTATGTGCAAGTAACACGTTCTATTTGCTCTCCCTTTGTGTTTGCCACGTACAGAATTACAACTCAGCAAGTTCCGAGTTTAGTTCCTAGTGTACTGGCACTGGCAATAAAACTCTTTCTAATTCTGACTATTGGCAAATCAATGACAGTAATTTGTTACACTACGTACAAAATTGACCCAAGCTTAATAGTTTGAGCTGAAAGCGTACTGTGAACAATTATCATTATAAACAGTTATCAGTGATTAAAATGTTGAACACACAATCGTTCCAGTGTTTTCTTTGGCTCATGCATCATTCTTTGCATTTAAAGAGCCCTTATACAATTTTCTGATTTGTGTTGTAATGTTGCTTCCTCATCAGAAATATAGCTGAGGTTGTGTTTTGTTTCATTCATACATATTTAACACACAAACCCTGCATATTTAGGCTGCATTCTTCTCTCAAACAGAAAACACTCTTTTCCAACTTGTGATGTCATGTGGTAATACAGGAAGCACTCCATTGTGTTTTTAAACTCCATACGCTTACGCTGGAATTATTTGGATAATTTTGTCCCTTGACTTGCTGATCTTTACTAAGCAAAAGATAAAAGGTAGCTGTTCATTTGAAAACAACCACTACATGACATCACAAGGTGGAACATTTTGACCTTTAGAGATGCAGATTATTAAGGTATGTTTACTCAAACATGTGTGAATAAAACAAAGCACAACTCCAGGTATATTTTGGGAGGAGGTAACGGTATTATAACACGGCTTAAAGCTCAAAAGAATTCATTTTGTGTAATATAGAACTTTTAATTAGGTTAAAGAATATTGTGTGTATAATTTATTGGAATATATGATGTCAGATATAACATGCCAGATCATGAAAATGTTCTCATTAATAATTGAAGATGAACCAGTTCGAAGTGCAAGAGGAAATATAGTCTACAACGGTCAAACAGGGGTCATGTTTCATGTGTGCTTCTGCTATTATACATATATGGGGTTTCACAGAGGTTTTTTTTGTTTTTTTGTTTTTTTACCAATAACGCCTCAGGATTTCCATGTTATCCTACTTATCTCATGGCTGGACTACTTTTATTGGCAGTAATGAATAGGTTTTAAATCCGGCTTGCTTCCTTGTGTCATCTGAGAACAGTGTAGAAGTGAAGTGAAGAAGTCAGTCTACACCATAATAGTTAACATTGTGAGGAATCTGCTAGTGTGGCATAACACTGAGCTGTTATCAGAGTTACAATATCAGAAATATTAGCTCCATTTTAGCCTCTGTGAAAATTGCAGTAATTCAAAGCTCATTCAGTATCGAGCTACATTGTGCATGTTTTAGCCTGTACTATGTGAAAAGGTCTAGCGACTCACAACAATTCATACAGAACCTACCTAGCAATTAGCACGGTTGCTATCAGGTTACAGTTTCTTCACATTGACATAGTAAACAACAGAAGTGGTTATGACTTTATCCAGCTATAACATGTTTGTATCACAACCCAATACACATTTATGTATTAAAGTTCACCTGCTAAATTGTATGGATACAGACTATTACATTACTTGTGTTAAGTTGTAAGTATCCCCCAGATAATATACTTTTCTTTTACAATATCTGTACACTCCGTCTAATACTCAGAGAATCAGAGAAATCCAGTGGTAACGTGACAGGAGCATCAAAAGTCGAAACCCATCACTACAGAGCAGTAGCAACTTACATTTATACTTTGGCCTTTCCTTCGTTCCCTTCTTGATCTCAGTATGTCCTTGTTTAGCAAATTCTATTCATCTTTATGTTGGCTGTATATAAGAAAGTTTCAGTCTGCCAGCTGGGAGAAACAAAGACGAGGAGGTGTCTGAACATGATAAGCAGTCTGCAGATAGAGGGTGTGGGTTCCAGTTTTGACATGCAAATGTAGTGCTGTTTGAAACTGGCTCTGAGGCAGCCATAAACCTGTTTGAAACCTTTGGCCACGCCTCTCTCTCCCTCCCTCCCTCTTTTGCTCTTACCTGACTTGGAACATTACTCCCTCTCTCTCTCCCTCTCTCTCTCTTACCTGTGTTACTACATTACTCTCTCTCTCTGTCCCTCCCTCCCTCTCTCTCTCTCTCTCTCTCTCTCTGCCTCCCTCCCTCCCTCACTTCCCTGTCTTTGTGGGAGCAAAGTTCACAGACGAAAAATCAAGATAATGACAGACAGTAAGAGCCTTTGGTGACTACTTCAGGGGCAGTGCTAATCACAAGGATGTTAAGTCCGGCCGGGAATTCACACACTCTCAAACAACGGTGTGTCTGTGGAAATAAAGCAGTTAGTGAGTGATCTGAATACAAAATTGTTTTTAAATTTAAAACGTTCATTGACTAAGTGATTAGTGAGCAAACAGATGATTTACAACTTATCAGTAATGTCTAAACTGGGAAATACAAATTTCTGTTACTCAATTTATTTATTTTAGATTATGTCGATATATGTGCAACATCATTGTATTGTGGTGGTTACATCTGTGTTTATCTGACTAACCATGAGGTCATAGGCCAGTGCTTTGTGCAAACGTTGCCTGTACAGGCCTAGAACTATGGGCAAATATGCAGTGTACATTTTAATATGCAAATGAGCATTTTCTATATCATAGGTTGATTGTTGTGAAGAACTCATTATAAAACTGGCATAATATTGTTTCAGTGTTGAATTGACTTCATTTGCATTCAAACAGTAATCATTACTTCTTCATGACCAAAGCTCTTTGTGGGTAAAGGGCACTGTTTATCCAGAGCCCAGTGCAGGGAGGGGCCCTTCATAAAATCTGTAATGTGTATTTTTCATTAGACACAGTCACCAAGATGATTTGTACCCAGGCCCCAGAATCTGGTGCTTACACCCCTGCTGATTACTTGGCTGGGAGACCGCTGGCAAAACCAGGTGCAATAGATGGACGCCAGTGACAAAAACTGATGTTGTATCCTTAGGCAAGACACTTCACCCACATTGCTAAGTATGAAGGTGTTGGTGGTGGTCAGAGGGGCTGATGGCACAAACTGGCAGCCTTGCTTCTACCAGTCTTCCCCAGGGCAGATATGACTACAAAAGAGGTTTAACATTACTGTATGGACCATAACATGTAACATACTGTCTTCTAGCCTAAATCTGTCTTGGCTCACTTTGAAGTTTATGCTGTTCTAATGATTTAAGCTTGCTGTGTGTATGCGTGCTGGAATTAAGCATTTAATTGTCTGCTTTGTTCGGGGTTAATAAGGTGAATTACATCATATGTTTCTGGTTGCTTCTGATAGTCTTGTTTTTGGTTAATTGAACTTGGAGAATCTCAACAATCAGCCCTGTAGCTCTTCACAGGTCACTCAGGTTTGCACGTAAACTCAGCAGAGGTAGAGGGTGACATTTGATGCTGGTAAAATAGCTAGAAGCAATATGAAAAAAAAAAAAAAAACTGAGTGCGTGACTCAATCCAAACAAGTTAATAAAATTGTAATCCATAAGCAAAAAAAAAAAAAAAAAAAAAAAAAAAAAAAACATTTAGCAACAAAAAATAACTGTAGGAGCAACCTTGTGTTTTAGGTCAAGATAAATTACTCAAAATGTCCTCACCAAATTAGACTTAGTTAGACTCTGTTCACCTGCTCTATGCAATTCTTGTTCATTAGTTTAGCAGCTCATATTTCGTTGTCTCTGAAATATTAATGCTTCTGGACAAATTAAGAATCTTCATTTTAAATGATAAATTACAAATCTAATCAGTGTTGTCCATGAAATAATTGAATTGAATCCGTTCATGGCATACTAAGTGCACAGGCTGAGTCAGACCCTGGTCCTGGTCAGACAAAGTAGCAGTGATGAGTCACACAGGAGGAAAGTTCCAGATTTATTTCCTGTTCTCTGGGAGAACTTCTTGTCAGAAGTTTGCATGTTCTTTCTGTGCTCAGGTAGACCTCAGCTGATATTTTTTCCCCATAGGGAAAAGGCTTCTGCTCTTTGCTTGTGCTTCTAATTTTTGCTTTTAATATAGCTATTAATCAGATATTTGTGTCATAATTATAACCATTTTAATGAATGCCACACACTAAAGGCTCCTTATCTATGATACTGTCTGTGCAAATTTTAATTTTCCTCAGGAAATTAAATCAATGCTCATTGCAGTTATAATTAAAATTAATAATTTATTCTTTTTCTTTGGAGTTTAGTGGGTCCCTGGTCTATCCTCATTATGCATTTATCCAAGGGTCTCAGAGGGAAATTAAAATGGTTACCATAGCAATTAAAAACTGAAAACAATTATATATTTTGAATTGGGAAACATTCCCAAAATGGTGCCTAAACAGGAAGCTGAAACCCATGAGGAGGCGAAAACCCTGCACATTTGCCACTGAGTAGTATGTTAACCATCACATTTGCTGTTTTGTAAATGACCATTTCCGCAAAAACATGCATCTCTCTGAGTAGTGGAATATGAGGAGCTCTGCAGGAAATCCACTCTGTGAGACTATGTGTCAAAGAGCAAGCATTAATGAGAGGCAGGGGCACTTCTGAGTGTATTCAAATATTCCTAATGTATTTCTCCCAGGGTAGGATGCATGATCTGCATCAAAACTGTAGATACACCCTAATGAGCTTGAAACTGCTTCATAAAGTGTGTCACCTTAAGAAGGGCCACAAATAATCATCTCAGTGCCCCATTGTTGGAGCGTTCCTTCAGTCTGGGCGTGTGTAGATTAAGTAGCATATGCAGCAAGAAGCCAGGACTTTCTTTTCCTGGAGCTGGTAGATATGACTCACCTTTTGTGATACTCAATCTCTCCTTCATGTTCTTGTCACTTCTCCTCAGGCGGTTTCTGCGTCTTTTGACAAGTTCGAGTGAGTGTTGTGAAGTGTACCCAAATCCAAATGCTGTGACAAACTCAAAGTGTTTGCTACAGTTTTTATTAAAGGTCTGTCAAAATAAGGAATGGATAAATGGTGCCAACGCAAATCATAAGGTGTAGAATGGATATTTGAGATTAAAGCTCTGCTGTTAATGTTACAAATTTTGAAAAACTAAATTGAACAACAAAATATAAAGTACACTGTAACAGCTCACATTCCAACCAGATTCAAAAGAAAAAGTCCCAGGTTTCTGAGTCGGAGGAGAAAAGGACATCATGGACACAAACCCTAAAGATAGAACTGAAATATCAAGTTCTCACAATACTAATTTGTGTCTTCATGTCATTAAAATCAATGTTCCCACTGAAAGGAACATACAATAATGTTAGCATAGAATTAACCTCATATGTGGTGGAAAATTACAGGTTTACTTTGAAATGCTATATCAGGGGTCTCCAGCCTGTAACTCGGGAGCTACCAGTAGCTTTCCACCCCCTTCAAAGTAGCTCACCAAGGCATTTCTGAATTCTATTGTACTGTAAATGTATCATTTTGATATCGTGCACTGGGAAATGGATAATGGTTAATTAATGAATTCATCATTGCATTTATATAGCACCTTTCAAGACAACCAAAGTGCTTTACAATTCATTATTCATTCACTCCACATTCCAAAACATCAGTGGTGTAACCAGGGGATGAGAATACAGATATTACTGTGTATACAGATTGGTCTTGGTGCGTTATAGTTTTACAAATTAGTAAATAGGAGGCACACACACAAATCAAATAAAAGATATGCAAATGTAACTCATACAGGCACCGTCAACAACAGTGCAGCTGCAACAACAGCTGCAGGACACAGAGGAGGGACACTTTTGGCTCTTTTTCTCCCCAAACTGACGTGACACAGATCTGTTGACCCTACCTGACCAGTCCTCCTGCACTGAGACCTTTGACTGAGACACAAAGGTGACTGAGAACTGAAGTAAATGTCACTGCAGCAAAGCTTGAATTTCCCTCAGGATAAAGTATTTTTCTCTCTCTTTACCTCTAGGACACTGGTGGTCAGGTTCATTGGCAGAAAACACAAGTGTAATCAAGCAAATCATTTCTAAAAATGTTAGGTCAAAGGTTAACGTGCTAAACATTCAGATCTTCATATTGCAAATGTTTAGCAGACCAAATAGTGTTGATTTTTTATGTGTTTCTGTATACACCCTGTTTGTAAGACATAGATATTTAATTTTGTTGATTGCTAGTTCCCCAGTCCTCTCTTGAAACATGTGGATTTGTTCCATTGATTTTGAGGTTTCCGCAAGCTAGCAAAATTAGGGAAATTTTTCTTAAATTCTGTTAATTTTGCTCACCCAGTCACAGTAACTCTTACTTATATGTGTACTATGAATATAACTGTCCTCCAAAAGTCTAGGCCCCACCCCCTCACAGTGCAGCGCTGCCTCTCTCTGCTGGTCCGTCCACTTCTCATGCATTTTTCAGTTTTTGTCAGTGGGATGAGTGATCTCTGCTCAAAGGTTATTGGAGCAATGCCACAACCTGTTTGTATTCAACCTGAATGAACAGTACCACAACAGTACCACAAAGACAAGAACCTCATGAAGGGACCTTATAGCACAATTTTTGGTGAATATATTTGATTAAAGCATTGAAACTTGACGCGCGTTCCAATTATCTTTGGAGATCAAATTTTCTGAGTTGCCGATTTTAACTGGAACACCCATCCAATTCGGAGTTCCTACTTCAAGACACAGAAAAATCCTGAGTTAGAAATGCTGTGTCCTATGTTTGGTGAAAGTTAAAAGTTAAAGTTAAAATATTGAAAGTAATAGTGCCGAAGCACAGACAGCCTGTAAAGCGCGGTACATTTGTCCAGTATGACAGCAATTGAACTGTGCCCAGGCATGGCCCGGTTGGAGGAGGTGAGCCAAAGCACGGCA